CCCCAAAACCCCAAAACCCCTTTCGTTTTAAAAGTACAAGCATAGACATTTATGTTAATATCAGATTTTAAAATAAAACAACTAATCTTAGCTAAATAGAAATCACAAAATTATTACTTCTCTATAATCATAAATAGTTAACTTTAAAAATAATTTTTATAATCCAAGCAGATTTATTCATCGTAATCTCCTATAAATCAAATCATAGGTCGTAGATTCTCTCCAAAGTTTAGGCTTGAGGCTGCTACTAAGTTCTAAAAGCAATCTATTGAATGGAATCAATTAGTTCTTTGAAGCCTTCATCATTTAAGCTTTAAAATCCCTCACTTTTAATCACATCTACAATTTTTTCAGAAATTTAATCTTTCTCCCCCGCATATTTCAATATTCCTTCTAGAACCTAATAGTTTGATTTCATTGCTTTAGTGAGAAGCCTCATTTGTTGCTCTTATTCATTTTGATAAATCTCAAATAATAGATTAGTCATCTCTCCATTTTATCTCAACTTTACAAGAATATTCTTTCTTTCTTTCTAATATTTTGGAAAATAGTATTCAGTTGCTGAAACTCCCTCAATTTTGTCATCTTTAAATGTAGTTAAATGGAGCTTATCAAATCTATTAAGAAAGGACTCAGATTTTTTTATGAAGTCTATGCTTGAACACTTTTCTACAATAATTTAATCGAATTCCAAGCACATTTTAATGCTTGAAAAAATTTCATGATTAGCCAAGTGCTTTACTAGTAGAGCTTAGGGTAATGAAGTATGCAAAGTCCTCTTGAAAAAATCATCTTTAGTAATTTATTTAATCTCAAGATACATATTAAAGAGTTATGTCATATGGAGTTCATTTGCCATATTAGAGTCATCATAAATTTGAAAAAGGATTATCCTCGAATTCTTACTTGATCTTAGATTTTCCTCTTTTTTGTTAAACATTACACTTTTAGTGATGGTGGTCCTTGATGTGTAGAGTTTTTGGTAATTATTTATCAAAGGGTAGAATTGATTTAGGAAATCTAATGCTGAAATTTGCAATCCTAAGTTCTATTCTAATTGGTAAAAAGTCTTTGATTCTTTAACTAATTTTCTAAGGTAGTGAATTGCAATTCTTGCACATTCTTTCCATAATTTTTCTGTTACAATCCTTACATTACTAGATGGAATGCTAATATTTGTTTTCTTCAATAAATCTTACAACTCTTATCTTTATTTGTCTTTATTTTACTGTATCTAAGATTATTGCTAGAAGAGAGTATTCTAAGACAGAGCTAATTGACCAGGTTTAATCACTTAGCTTCTTTAAAGACCAACAACCTGATAGATGAATTTCTATAGTTTTTATTGGTCATCTATTTTTAGCAAGATTTACTGATTGATTTAAAATAACCCTTAACTTTTATATCCTTAGCTTCTGAGAGATTTACTGCTTATTTAATTTTATAATTTCTCAACTATTCTATTGACATCTTATAACAGTTAATCATCTAGTGCTTCAACATTCATCTTAGGAATAATCTTAAAGACATAAGGAATATAATTATTATGAAATAGTGTAGCTCTCAAATCATATCCATATTCCAAGCAAATCTTTTTGTAATATTCATCGATTCCATCATCAACCTTTAAGTCATCTAACTTCTTAAGTTAGTTATTTTAATCAATATATAGTTTCAATTCTTTGATTTTGGCCTTAAAATTTAAGTCTTTATAATTTTCAATATAGAGATAGATCTTTTCAAGAAACATTTTGACATCATCTAAAGCTGCTATACAAAAATGATTTCTGATATCTTCAACGCTTTTCTGCTAGTTTATTTGATCTAAAACATTAATTCTAGAAGTTAATTTTACCAAGTATGTGAGTGAGAACACATTTTTGAGTATTATTGAGATGAGGTTTCCAATCTTGATCATCAAACACCTGGATCCAATTTTGAATATAAAGAAAATCCCTCTTTATTAATTCCCTCTGATTATCATTTATCATATCTAAGATATTCCATAGGTCAAGTACTTATTATTAATTAAAACTCTTGAGTTCATTAACTTCAATGTCGGGGATCATAATTGCCTTTAGCGGAGCCAACCCGTCTTTGCACTCTATTATTGCAGACTCAACGAATTTTGAGATAATAGGAGTAATCAGCAAGTTCTTAAGGAACATATTTTAATTTCCGACTAGATGATTTGAAGAAAGCTTTAAATGATGGACACTTGAAAATCCATAATTTATTACAAAGTCCAAGAAGTTCTAAAATAATTGAGACAGTTTTTGCATTACAAGAGTGTTGAGTTAAGCCTTAAAACCAAGGCTTTCATCAAGACAGATGCCTGATCTCTTTTCATTGGGATAGAAAAGATGAGAGTTGAACACTACTGAGAATTTAAGTGATTGAGAGCCGATCAAAGGATAGTCAACAAAGAAGTTAGGAATGCAAGAATCTTTTTCAACAATTTCATACATTCCATCTTCTTTTTATTAAACAAAGCAAGCTAATTAAGAGTACTTATTGAATGCAAGAATCATTTATTTCTCTTCATCATTGATGAAATATTTGAGGATCTAGATGTCTCCTAATGTAATTACAGGATTCCTATCTATTCTGAAAGTATATTGCTGCTTCTACTATTCAATTCTATCAAATATCTCAATAGTCTCAATTTTCTTGCTGAAGGCAATCACATAAGGGGTTGATGCTATCAGGTTCTTTAGACCTTCTTAAGCATTTCTGACACCATGCTCAGAAAGATAATAAGTGAAGCAGGTATCAAAGTCAAGTCCAGATTCATAGTCTTCTAGGAATGGCCATTTTTCATGATTATCAAGGTTTTTGAAAATTTCTGAGGATTTCTAATTGTTACTTAGCATTTTTTAGACATCTTTTGTGTCTCTGTTTAGCACAAGCTAGAATTTCTTATAAAGACACTAATCTGTGTCCGTATGCTGAAAGACACCATCAACTGAAACTTTTTTAGATAGTAAATATGTAGTTAGAAAGCCAGTACCAAATCGGCCAGTTGTTTCTGGAATGACCATTTCATCAAGATTCAAGTTTTAAGCTTAATTATCTGACTGCTGCAGAGATGTACTGTTAATGCTGTTATTTGCGTTAACAAAAGAATCAAAGTCATCATCAGGTTGAGGAGTTTCACTATAATACTGAGGTCTATCTTTATCTGAGCCCTTTTCAACTAGATTCATAATGTCTTTGAGACTGAAGGGCCTTCCATTGTGCAAGAATCTCAATTTATCTTCTTCCAAGATTATTCTAATTTTCACTGGTTTTGAAGCATCATAGGCATCTTGAGCATTTTGGATAAGCTCCCAACCCCATCTCTTTACTGCATCTGGTTCGGTTTCCAGCTAGTCAATGCTATCAAGAATACTCTTAGCAATCTGAATGTTTCTCTCTTGAATTCTCTTTTGCTCATAGAGCTAACCAAATTGCACTGAAGAATTTGTTGCTTACATTTTAACTTTTAAATTTAATAATTATAATATCTTTAATCAAATTCTCCTATTAAGTACTCATCCAGCAAATTATGAGTAATGGGGTTTTGGGGTTTTGGGG